TTCTCCTGCCTCAGCCTCCTGAGTAGCTGGGATTACAGGCACATGCCACCATGCCCAGCTAATTTTTTTGTATTTTTAGTAGAGACGGGGTTTCGCCATGTTGACCAGGATGGTCTCGATCTCTTGACCTTGTGATCCACCCGCCTCAGCCTCCCAAAGTGCTGGGATTACAGGCTTGAGCCACCACACCCAGCTTAATTTTTAAATTTCTAGTGGAGATTAGGTTTCGCCAGGTTGGTCAGGCTGCTCTCAAACTTTTGACCTCAGGTGATCTGCCTGCCTTGGCCTTCCAAAGTGCTGGGATTACAGGTATGAGCCATTGCACCCGGCCAATAAAGTTTTTTTAAGTCAAAAACACCCAGGCTGGAGTCCAGTGGCGTAGTCTCGGCTCATTGTAACCTCCCCTTCCTGGGTTCAAGCAATTCTTGTGCCTCAGCCTCCCAAGTAAATGGGATTATAGGTGCGTGCCACCACACCCAGTTAATTTTTCTATTTTTAGTACTGACGGGGTTTCACCATGTTGGGCGGGCTGGTGTCAAACTCTTGACCTCAAGTGATCTGCCCGTCTCCGCCTCCCAAAGTGCTGGGATTACAGGCGTGAGCCATTGCACCCAGCCCAAAGTTTTTACTTTAAATACATGATTACTCAAACATCCTAAGCCAGCAGGCCCTATAATAATAAGTTACAAATAGTCTGAATTTAATAACTTAAGTATGATATGGTTAATACAATACATACTGCATGAATATCTTAACCTCTTTCTTACGGTAAGGTGATAATTAAAAGGTTTAAATTTACAGTTTCAGCTTCTGCTCAGAAGAATCATGTCAGTATTCTAGCAATGGTGATGACATCCCATTATTGTAAATGCAGAACATAATAATGTCCATATTACTTTGAATTATACTTGATTGAAGAAATAATTCTATGTAAGAGTCTATATTCTATGTGCAAAGTTTCAATGGTGCAGGTTTATAACCAAAGCTGCGTTTAACAATGCTTTCTGGCTTCCAAAAAAACATATAAAAATACCTCCTAAAAGTGAACAAACTAAAGCTAGAAGTAGGTGACACCAGTTGTTCTTCCCATTTATGTGTGATGGACTTCATGAAGCATTAACTCCCGAGGTATATTTGTTTCTGGACCATACAGCTTACATGCTCTCCTTTCAAAGGCGGCTACCATCTGCTTTACAACTTCATCAAAAAACAATGTGGCAAGCTGAGAATGTAGAAGTGATCGAAATTCAAAAGAAATCTGTAGAAAAATATTGACAATTATTTTAGAACAAATTATTTTTTGCACTTTTGTTTTTTGTTTTCCCAGAGACAGAGTCTCGCTTTGTTGCCCAGGCTGTAGCACAGTGGCATAATCACGGCTCACAGCAGCCTCCACCTCCTGGGTTCAAGCAATCCTCCCACCTCTGTCTCCCAAGTAGCTGGGACTACAGGCGCATGCCACCACACATGGCTAATTTTTTTTTTTTTAGAGAAGAGTTTTTGCCATGTTGCCCAGGCTGGTTTCAAACTCCTGGGCTCATGTGATCTGCCCACCTCGGCCTCCCAAAGTGTTGGGATTAAGGACATGAGCCACTGCACCCAGCTAGAAAGGTTCTTTTTTTCTTTTGAGATGAAGTCTCACTCTGTTGCCCAGGCTGGAGTGCAGTGGTGCGATCTTGGCTCACTGCAACCTCCACCTCCCAGGTTCAAACAATTCTCCTGCCTCAGCCTCCCGAGTAGCTGGGACTACAGGCACTTGCCACCATGCCTGGCTAATTTTTGTATTTTTAGTAGAGACGGGGTTTCACTATGTTGACCAGGCTGGTCTTGAACTCGTGACCTTGTGATCCACCCGCATAGGCCTCTCAAAGTGTTGGGATTACAGTTGTGAGCCACTGCGCCTGGCCCAAAAGACTTTTTTTTTTTTTTTTAAATTGAAAGGGAGTTTCGCTCGTGTTGCCCAGCCTGGAGTGCAGTGGCACAATCTCGGCTCACCGCATCCTCCACCTCACAGGTTCAAGTGATAGTATCCTGCCTCAGCCTCCTGAGTAGCTGGGATTACAGGCATGCACCACCACACCCGGCTAATTTTTTTGTATTTTTAGTAGAGATGGGGTTTCTCCATGTTGGTCAGGCTGGTCTTGAACTCCCAAACTCATGTGATCTGCCCGCCTCAACCTCCCAATGTGCTGGGATCAGAGGCGTGAGCCACCTCGCCTGCCCTAATATTTTTTTTAAACTAAATCTCTTCCAGTTCCAGGAATAACAACTGGAACAAAAAAAAAAGGAAAAAAATAAATAAATAAAATAAAATAAATCTCCACTTAGGACAGTGGTGTTCACCCTGTGAACTGGGTATCTAGGGCAGAGTTGTGTGGATGTATGTAGGTGGGATTTTTAGCAGGCCCCCAGAGGAGGGAATCTTCTTTACTGCAACAAGCAGAACTGCTGGCACAAAAAGCTTACATAAACAAGGCCAATGAAATCTCATTAAGGGAAAAAGTCTGCTTCATAATAAGACTGGAAGAAAGCTTTGCTGTATACATTTATCACTCTGCCTTCTTACTAATGTGCCCCTTTTAGATCCATCCTATCCAACCAAAGGAAATAAGGACGAGAAGTGATCCTTCTCATAGGTATCAATCCCATGAGAAGTACCAGCAGGAAGAGGAAGCTACAAGTGTGCATGCACATGGGTGCCTGACCCACAGGGCAGATGATGTAGGTGGTCTAACTTTTTCTTTGAGACAGAGCCTTGCTCTGTTGGCCAGGCTGGAGGGCAATGGCGCAATCTTGGCTCACTGGAACCTCTCCTCCCAGGTTCAAGTGATTCTCCTGCCTCAACCTCTGGAGTAGCTGGGACCATAGTCACCCACTACCACATCTAATTATTATACTTTAAGTAGAGACAGGGTTTCAATCTTAAAGTAGCCAATGATTTGAATATGGAAGAGGAGGCTGCAAGTGTGCTGCATGTACACGCATACCTGACCCACAAAGCAGATGGCATAGGTGGTTTAATCTTCTCTTTTTGTAGCCTGTCCAACTCGCCTTATTTTGTTGTTGTTTTAGGCTTTTAACAGCCTGAAGTCATGGTTTTTAGTTTCTGTCTCGAGTGATGAGCAGAAAAGAGGGATGAGAAAGTCGCTTTACAGGCCCAACCAAAAACAGAAACTAAGAACCCATGACTGTATTCTCTCCCTTGGACACCCTTTTAGGATTTTATTTATACCCTTTCGTTGTTCTATACAGAATTCAAGACAGGCTGAGCGTGGTGGCTCATGCCTGTAATCCCAGCACTTTAGGAGGCTGAGGTAGGCAGATCACCTGAGGTCAGGAGTTTGAGACCAGCCTGACCAACATAGAGAAACTCTGTCTCTAAAAATACAAAATTAGCCAGGCGTGGTGGTACATGACTGTAATCCCAGCTACTTGGAAGGCTGAGTCAGGAGAACTGCTTGAACCCAGGAGGCGGAGGTTATGGTGAGCTGAGATCATGCCATCGCACTCCAGTCTGGGCAACAAGAATAAAACTCCGTCTCAAAAACAACACAAAAAACTGAAGACAACTGGTTTGAGAACTGTGTTTTAAGGACCAAATATCCTCTAAATCTTAAAATATTTACTTTGCATTATGAAATAATTTTTTTGTAAAACAAAAAGCAACAACAGTACAAAGATTTCCATGTACCCATTACCCAAATTTCCCTATTTTCATGTCTTAAATAACCATAGTGCAATTCTCAAAATCAGGAAATTAACAAACGGAGTTATTACTACTAGATAATAACGCTATTATCTAATTTACATAGACCTTATTCTAATTTTCCCAGTTGTCCTGTTTTTTTTTTTTTTTTTTTTTTTTTTTATTTTTGTTTTGTTTTTTTTTGAGGCAGAGTCTTGCTCTGTCACCTAGGCTGGATGGAGTGCAGTGGCGCAATCTTAGCTCATGCAACCTCTGCCTCCTGGATTCAAGTGATTTTCCTGCCTCAGCCTCCCAAGTAGCTGGGACTACAGGTGTGTGACATCATGATACCTGGCTAATTTTTTGTATTTTTAGTAGAGATGGGTTTTCACTGTGTTAGTCAGGATGGTCTCGATCTCCCGACCTCGTGATCCACCCGTCTCAGCTTCCCAAAGTGCTGGGATTACAGGCGTGAGCCACTGCACCTGGCCTGTCTT